GCGGCCAGCGTCATCGTCAACGAGGCCAACAAGCGCTTCTTCGAGCCCGCCGCACCGCGGGGCTGGAGCGTGGCACTGAGCTGGCAGCCGCGCTGAGGCGTCACAGCCCCAGCATCACCAGGCCAAACGCCGTCAGGTTGATCAATGCGTGCGGCAAGGCGGCGGCGACGCAAGCCTTCCACCACGCTGCCGGGCGCCAAGCCAGATAGCTGCAGCTCAAGACATAGAAGCTCCAGAAGGTGCCGAAGAACCAGAGCAGCCCGAAGAGGCCGTGCAGGCCTCCCCAAAGGAGGCTGGACACCGCCGCGACCCGCACCGGGCGCGCCGACATGCTGGACAGCAGTCCCAGCAGGCCCGCCAGCAACAACGTCTCGACCAGCGGCGCGAAGATCACCGCGCCGAAGAACTCTCGGAACGTGGCCGCCATCCTTGGCGGCGTGAACGGCGTCGCATCAATGCCCAGCAGGTGGAGCAGGCCGTAGGCCAGGCCCAGGAAGGCCAAGCTCGGCAACATCGACGTCGGCACCGCCAGCAGGCTGTGCGTCAGCAGCGAGCCGGCGCGGCGCGCCGACACCAGCGCCAGCAACAACGTGCGCCAACGTGGGGTCGGCACGGCTTCGGGCGGCACCACCGGCGAGGTCTCGGGAACAGGCATGGGCGATGGGCGCCCCCTCGGCGCCAGCAAATCCGGACGCGGGACTATCCGGCGTGCCGGCCACCCCGAAGCGCTTGCGCCGACGTGAAGATGCACCTGCCACGTTTCACGTGGCACCAGTGGGTGGCGTCTCGTGGAACCGACGGCCGCATGGCACGCGCCTTCGGCACAAAGGACGTCGGGCGCTGCCGCCCGCTGTGTTGGAATCGCCGGCGATTTCGGCCCGGGCTGCATCCACAGCGGCCGGCATTCGCTCAGGGAGACACACGATGAAGCGCTTCACGACGACGCTGGGGTTGCTGCTTGCGGGCCTGGCCGCGCAGGCCGCGCCGCTCGCACCCGCCG